ATAACCTTTACTTATTATTACAGTCATGTTTTTATATAGAATATATGATATCCACAAGCGCGTGAGGATGTGTTTCTGCTGCTAACAGGCACCAGAATTAAAATTGAAAATTGAACAAGTGTGAATGCTAACGCGATATCTTCATCCATCGTCACCCCCGAGCTACACATGTAGGGAAGTCCAAGAGATTCAACTGGCAGAAACAACTGGTTCACACCATAGTCTCTCTCACTCACACACACACACACACACACACACACACACACACACACACACACACACACACACACACACACACACACACACACACACACACACACACACACACACACACACACACACACACACACACACACACACACACACACACACACACACACACACACACACACACACACACACACACACAAACACACAGACAGACAGACAGACAGACAGACAGACAGACAGACAGACAGACAGACAGACAGAGCTGAGGAAATGGAGGACACCAAGTAATTAAAAGAAAAACTACAGCTGAGCCGAGGCGCGCCTCGAATGGGGCGCGTCTGAACTGAGGAGCAGCGAGCAGCGGCCGGACTTCGTGAGCGATTCGCTTCGGGCGCTTCCGCGGCCGGTGTGTCCCCGGCGTTAAACGCCGGCTTTCAGCCACTCCCCCTGCTGCTTCCGTCTGCTCTCGTCTGTTTTCCAGGCGAGCCGCTACTCAACTCAAATACGGCCATTCTCCGCGCCTACCGTCTTCTTTAAACCGCCAAGAATCATTCCACCTACGCACACGCTTCTCTGCTTCATACCGTTTCGAACTGTCTCGCTTCTCCTCACCAGTTTTAAAGCGTTTTGCCGGAGAATTCATCAAGAAATCCAATCCCTGTGGTGGCGCGATCTTCCTGCGTGCTTGTGTGTTTCTAGCGTGGTTCCACTTCATCTTTAATAGTGAACTTATAGTTCACGTGACAATAACTAGAATCGTGCAGGACGTGCACGAATCGTACAAGTGCAGTACGTGGCTAGAGGCGCGCAGGTTCACGCGCGCGAAACGAAAACGGCAGCTTCCTACAGGGCGGGGCCATGATGTAGGTGAAAGCCGGTGTGTAAATGACAAATAAAGCTTGGGCGCCACCCGGGCGGTAAGTCGTCAAGTATTTACCGCCCGACGAGAAAATTTAGCGCCATTGGCGCTCAGGCGCTTTAAAGGTCCACCCCTGGTTACCCATTCTTTTATAATCCGTTGTCGAATTGTGATCAGCAGAAGCTTTTCTGGTTCGCGCCTCACTTTTTTTTTTTACATCAGCGGCCCCTAAACGATCTTCTAACATGTGGATTTTCTGCTTCCTGATCACGTGACATGTGACATACGCGGATGAAGATCGGCTTTAGAGCTGGGATGTTTGTTCTCATGGTGCGGGGGCTCGTTCTGACAGCCACACAGTAAAAAAAATGCAAATGACGACTTTTGTCGTCAATGGCAGTTAATGAGTTAATTGGAAACTGTTCTGTGAGCCTCTGTGTAACATATGGAATGTTGTTGGGGCTCACAATCACCAAAGAGCCCTGATAACACAACCACATAATTAAGCTCTACAGCAAGGGCATGGCTATTAAATGATCCGCCTTGGCCGGTTTATCCCGATGGCTCTATGGAGCTAGAAACTCTGTGTGCAGCTATGTACAGTATTTGGATAACTCAGTTGGCAAGCTTTGGATCTATTCCCACTACATCCTGGAACACGATTGGTGCTCCAACATTCTTCTTTGTAGGTTTCCTCTCATCTAACCAGGCCTGTAGCTCGGGCTAGCATCATATTGAGTCTAGCCTTACCACCAGTGTTTATACATTGCTGACCTATGACGCCTTTAACCAGCTGTCAAAGAACCTTTTCTTCACGGCCATTACAACTAGGGTTGGGCATTGTTTGATTTTGAAAGATTCCGATTCCAATTCCTCATTTCGGTTCCAGTTCCTATCAATTCCCGATTCCGATTCTTTCAAGACATTCCATGTTTTAAATGAGCCAGCTAACCACAGGACCTACTTGATGAAATAATCTTAACCTCAACATGAATTTTAATTCTATGAACAATAACATCATCTTCATTTAGACAAAAACATGTTTTGGAGAGAAAAAGAAAAAGACTTGCAGCACAACCAGTGTGTTTGTTTCTGACCACAACCAAAGTCTGGAAGAAGCCTCTGGGATGAGAGGCTAAATGTCTCCAACATATCCAGAAACGTCCAGCTGTTTTCCTACAGGCTGCAGCAGCCGTTCAGTCAGAACAGAAAGTGAAACTTAAACATAGCAGCTGTCAATAACAATCTAACACATTTCAAACATTAAAACTCTCAACAAAAATAGTTCAAAAAGGAAATAAAATTTTTTATTTATTATTATTATTATTATTTATTGTGGCAGAAGCTGGTGTGGTCCACCACAGAGAAGGTTCTCTAGCATGATGACTTTATTTATTCTACAGGTTATTGTTCAGACGCTCAAGTGGCTGCGTCTGACTGCTGACGTTCCGTGTGTGTTTTTATTTCTGCAGTGAGACAAACTTACCTCACACCGTCCAGAGTTTGTTCTTTAAAGCTTCTATTAAATCCACTGTGTTGACGTATTTTAACAAGTTTCTCTATGGCGCATTTTTCGCTGTAGAAGTTAAAGTTTGCGTTAAGGAGTAAAAGTCCGGCAGACGAGTTTGTTTATATCTGGCCGCTGCGCGCCGGGTGGGGGGAGGGGGGGACTAGTGCTGCACACAGACAGCTGGTGTGATCAGCTCTGAAAAGTGTTGATCACAATTTGCAGATCACGTTTATTTTTCATGGAGATCAGCAGCGGATTCCTCTTCCATCCGCATTGTAGGAATCAAAACTAGGAATCGGGGAAAAAAAACTTTGAACGATTCCGGGAAAAACTAACAGTTGGAACCGGTTCCAATCGATGCTCGATACGTGTCAAAGCTGTTAAGAAGTTTTCATTAGATCTACAACTGAATAAGTGTTGGAATGAGTCTCATTTGGGAGAATAACTACAGCAAATTGATATTAAATGCAAAAATTGCTATAACTCAGATGTTTTTTTCACACATTAAGCTAACATTTATCTGAAAGATAGTCATAACTCATAACATAACATTTATCACTTATAACACTCTGCAGTGGTGTCATCTCAGAGGCTTTTTGAAGCTAAATGCAAAGGAAAACATGCACATCCATTAATGGGGTTAGGAAAGGCTTTAAATAGCATTCATGCCTAGTCTAAACCAATGTGGTTAGGTCAGGTGTACCTCACATTTATTATAAATTAGTTTATATTTGGTGTAAACATTTATAGATGGTAAGCTAGGACAGAAGTAATTTTCTGTTCCAAAAGCTGTGCATCAAAAGTACTTGTTGTTTCCACTGGAAGTTACGTTCTGAGCAGTTTTATGATCAAGCATTACTTCAAAGACCAGGTTTGTGTAGGTGTGTTTCAACCTCATTCCTCATTCTGTGTTTTAATAGGGTGTGCACACACACACACACACACGCACGCACGCACGCACGCACACACACACACACACACACACACACACACACACACACACACACACACACACACACGTGACTGAAGAGAGAAGTATGAGAATGACTGAGCAGATCCTCCCGCTCAACAGCTGCATGCCTGAGTTTCTGCTGGACGAGTTGTCCTTAGCAGGCAGAATAAGTGAGAAGACGGCGTGACTCATCATCGTCTCATCTCTTCGTTAATCTCGTGGTGATCTTAGCTGGACTGTACACTCAGCCTCTGAAGAGGATTAAATCTTCTCCGTCCCAATCTCATTCCTTTGTTCTGATTGGGTTCACGGAGAGCTGGGCTCTGAAAGAATCCATTATGTTGTCTTTAATTTTATTAGCTGTTGCATACGAAGCAGAAAGGAGGAACTTTTATCTCATGGTTTATCTGAACTTAAAGACAATCATATGTGCTTTTGTTTATATTTAATAGAGTTTTTATTTTTAACTTATTCTGCAAAAGATTCGTTTTACAACATATTGATGAAGGAAAGTTTTGTAAACGCTTGCGTACTTCTGGATGTGAAAACTTGGTTTTCTGTTGTGATTATTTTTAAAATGTGATTCTTTCGGTCTGTTCTGGGAAAAGCACACAAGTTGTAACAAAACACTTGGAGACTGTTGTTAAGGATTTGAATATAGATGTGTGGTGCCTCGCCCCATGAAAATGTCATCTACATTGTGGTTGCAAACAAAGTCCTCTATTCTTGTGACCTGGGTATTTATCAGCCCTCAGTAAGGCACGTTGTTTACACGAGTTTCAGACAGAAGGCCTGTTTCATTTATCACAACTTCCAGGTAATTTTATCGGACCTGTATGGCATGGACATCTCTCAGTTTCATTGGGCTGGCCCAAAAGGACGACTAACCGGGCCGTTTCAGGACCCAAACCAATACCAGCATTGGAGTATGTACCCAGAAATGGCACGGTAGAATGGTTGTGGTTCTTTTCTTCTGATTGGTCGTATCTCAGTGGGAAGATCGCCAAAGCAACAGGCATTCGTAAATTTGAAAGGGTTGCTGGAAAAGCAGAGTTGACACCAAAAAGGGGTGGAAATCCCTCCACAATGCTACCTGCTCCTATTGAGCGCTGTAAAAAAGAATGTCAGATGTGGTCCTTGAATGCAGCTTTTTTCGCCCCATAGCTGTTCTTCCTGTCCCCTCGGTGACGTAAACTATGGTGTAATTTAAGGAACAAAACATCTTTAATGTTATTATTGTCCCATCTATGGCTGTTGGTGCCTTTATGTCACTCACTGCCAAGACAGTCGCATTATGCTGAAGTCTTTATGTCCTTAAAGGGCATTTTTAGTATGGACTCTTTAAAATGTCACAATGTTTATAACTAATCAATGCAGGAAGCATTTTTAATAAATGAGAAAATAACAGTGACTTGCAGTAACTCTTCAAAAATGTCATCTAGCTTAACCTGTATCTGTTTTCTCCCCAGTTCCTCTCCCGAGCCATGGTGATAAATACTTCCTTCTTGTGCTGAGCTGCCTTGTGGACAGTTGGAGGCATCATGGCGCATTTGCCTATTGCCCCGGGGCAGGTGTATGTTGAGGTGGAGTACGGCTATGAGTACAAGGCAAAGGACCGCCTCATTACAATCAAGGAGGGGGAATGCTTCATGCTAATTAAAAAAACGAATCTGGACTGGTGGCAGGTGAAGAAAGATGAAGCATCTAAACCTTTTTATGTACCGGCTCAGTACGTCCGTGAAGTCCGTAAAGCCCTCATGCCACCTTCTAATCCTCTCGTACATTTATCATCTTCTAATGAAAACTCACTTCCAAAAGGTGGTGCTTCACACTTGAAGAAGCCAACCAATCTGGACCTTGGAAATCACGATAAGCCTGCTGAAAACATTCATAGACATGACTCCAAACTACGACTCTCTCCTTCTGCACAATCCTGTTCAAGCAACTTCAGTCCCCCTGTTCACCATAAAAACTATGGTCACCTTCCTCTCTCCCCCACCGAGCAAGAGCGAGCTCATCCTGAGATGTTTGTGCATGGTGAAGGCCCCCACTCAGCCCAAAAAGGCTCTTCCAGCACGCTGCCTTGCACTCGAGCTTATTCACTGGAATCAGGAAAGCCTCTGAATGTGGACAACTTCCATCAGTATGATTCTGGAGAAGAAGAGAGGCACACCAACGGCTCGGAGTCAGGAGACGAACTCAGTAGCTCTTCAACAGAACTTCTCCAGGTAAAGTTCAAAGCTGACTTCTAATGTTTTTTTTTGTTTGATATACATCAAAACATTGTCCTCATCCTTGAGTTTAGCAGTTTCTCCATTTGCATGCAAAATAACTCTGACCAATCAGAATTTAGATATTTTATCTGGGCAGTGATGTTGCCATGTGGAGGTTTTCCCTTCACAAATGTCTACGGAGGTGAGAACTGTCATGGTGACATAAGTCAGTCTAGAGTTTCCCACAAGTTTGGGTGAAATATAACAATTTCCAAGAGATAGTCATCAGTCTGAAATATGGCAATGGGCGATATATTTGCTCTCATTTGCTATTTCATGCATCAGTCAACAATATACTGCAGTACAATTGGTTCAAGCTACACATGGTAGTAAGGGGCGGGACTTCTGACCTATTGGCCAGTAGTTGAAGGTTGAGCCTCAGCAGAGAGGGTAACCTTTCACCTTTTGGGTCAGGGAATATGTTGAGGTTCTGTTGAGAAAGGAACTCATTTGAAGGAATGTTTCCCGTGGTAAAACTGTTGGATTGTGGACGAACGGCTTTTACTGGAGTACTTTTATTGGACATCCGTGAATGTAAAAAGATGCTTTTTGTTCGAGAGGATGCTTCAATCTGGGAGTTGGTCAATAATCCAAAGGGTTCAAATGAAGGCAACTGGACTTCTTTGGTTTCTTGAAGACGTTTTGCTTCTCATCCGAGGAGCTTTGTCAATTCTGACTGGAATATGGGAGGGTCAAGCTTAGAAACTGTAGCCGTCTGTTGTTGTTTAACGGGCAGAAACTACCTATTAACACCCCTCCTCCCTACCCTCTGATGAGTCGTTAGCCTCTATTGTGTGGGAGTTGTATTGATTAGGTGCAGGAGGGTGTGACCTAGACTGAAACCATCAGATTCCAGTCAGAACTGACAAAGCTCCTCGGATAAAAAGCAAAACGTGTCAAGAAAGCAAAGAAGTCCTGCTGCCTTTATTTGAACCCTTTTGAGTTACCATGACCTGGATGACTGAGAACCTTCACCAGTGAGTTGGCCATTATTTTAAATTTCTGAGGAGTTTGATTTAAGTTTTTTTGTGTCAACAGTTGTGGTTGTTGGCATATACCATCACAACGTGCCCTATAGGTTAGAAATTGTACGTCACTTTGGTTAAAAGTGTCTGCCAAATAAATAAATTAACATCATTGCAATAACTAGTCCCATGTGTTGAGCGATATATAATATGTATGTGTTCATAGAAAAGTTTGACGTGGAATTGTGTAACGTCCCATCTGCGAGACTAATTCATAGGCAAACAAAGATTGGCAAAGGGCTTGGCTTATCGTTGATGGTCCATAAATGTGTCCAGTCACTATACCTCCTTTCCCACTGTAATGAACTGAGCATGCTGTACCAATCAGAAGTCATATTAAAAATGAGTCTTTTACATTGTTTTAGCCTTTACAGAACCATTAATGTTAGAGCCCTGCACTGAAGCCCTAGGCCCTCGGGTCGGCCCGGCCCGACGGCTCGAGGGCCGGGCTTCGGGCCAACGACTGTGTAATTACCACGGACACGGGCCGGGCGCCTTTATTTTTAATCAAATTCATAAAAAAATTGAAACACTTATACGCAGCAGTACAGCCCTGCGCGGGACTGTTTTTTTCATCCCGCTCCCACTGAATTTCTGACCATTACCGCCCACACCCGCAGCGTGCATGTCTACTCCCGCCCGCACAACTCGGAGAAATTATTACCTCACAATAAAAGAGATGTATTGAGTTTGCGTCCTCTCTGGTCCTAGAGAAAACATGTCATTTTACAGGCTATACAGGGGTGGTCTTACTGTGAGACCGGGTTGACGCGTCACACTTGTGCTTAATCATATGTGCTTTCTGAGCTGAAGACGATGTGAGATTCTGGGCTTCTCCTCAGACAGGCTCATGGATTCGTCGCCACATTGGAGACAGGAACAAGCACTATTCAGCCAATGTTTCATAACCAGGGAACATTTTCTAAGTGACAAGTCTCTCTGAGAGACCGGGTTTGGAAAACACTCACTTCAGTGGGAGGAACCTTCCCGCATGCGCTCTGGTTCTGCTACGTGCTCCAAGCCAATCTCCACAACTTCAGCTCTCTGTGCACATATGCGCTGACAGTGAGCTGCGCTGAGCAGTGTCCAGCTCAGATGTTCAGATGGGAATCTTTTCTTGGGTGATTTAGCTACATCTGCAATGTGTGTAACGAATAAAATGTCAGTTTGTCTGCATGCGTCAGGGTAATTCTTTCTATTCTTTCTTCGTCAAAATAAACGGTCAAATACGGGAACTATCCGGTCAACACAAGCCCTGCTTTTGACTGTTTTTTTGTGAAAATTGTTGGAAAGAGATAAAATTTAACTTGATTACCACCAGAGCCAGTGCGCCGTCATCTCCTTGACGGTAAATGAGGGAAAAACAAATTGATCGGATCCTGCACGTCAGGATTGACGCACTTTGTTTTAATTTAGTTGGTTAAAAAAAAAGTCGGGCTCGGGTCGGGCCAGAGAATCCTGAAAACCTTTTCGGGTCGGGCTGGGGCTCCACCCCCTCGGGCCGGACACGGGCTCAGATTTTAGGCCCGTGCAGGGCTCTAATTAATGTGTTATGGCTGCCTGTAAAGAACCAGCTGCTTGGAGCCACTCCATTTACAATTTACCCAAGTAATGTAAGATATTCGGACTGCCGTCTCTGTCAGTGATGAGGCTCATTCATTTGTTATACACTTAAGCATTCTTGACACTTCTTCCTCTTTGCCTTATTTGGGAATTGATGTGTTCATTTCACCTTTTGACACGCTCAATAATCACTACAAACTTAATTCTTAAGCGTGTTCCAGAAATAATTTCCTAAAATAAGAGCGGCTTCTGACTTTTAATGTTATTGTAAGGATGTCAGGAAATATGTTATAAACTAGAAATCCAGAAAGTTATTCTTCATGATATGAACATACAGGTGTCGACTGTTCATAAGAGCTGCGCAGTGGCACAATGATTAGAGCTGTTGCCTTGCAGCAAGTAGGTCCGGGGTTCGCTTCCCGGCCTGGGGTCTTTCTGCATGGAGTTTGCATGTTCTCCCTGTGCATGCGTGGGTTCTCTCCGGGTACTCTGGCTTCCTCCCACAGTCCAAAAACATGACTGTTAGGTTGATTGGTCTGTCCAAATTGTCCTTAGGTGTGAGTGTGTGTGTGATTGTTTGTCCTTTGTGTCTCTGTGTTGCCCTGCGATGGACTGACTCTCTGTCCAGGGTGTACCCCGCCTGATTGCCCATTGACCGGTAGAGTTAGGCACCAGTCCCCTCCCGCGACCCTACGTGGACAAGCGGGTTCAGAAAATTGATGGATGGATGGATGGATGGATGGATGGATGGATGGATGGACTTGTTCATAATTGGTGGGTTCTTCACACTTCAGCATAGGGCTGGGCGATAGAACAATAGCAATACATATATGAGATAACTTTTTCTTAGACATATGAGAATGGTCGATAGAAACTATGATTTAAAGAACAGATAAACAGCCAAGTGTTGCCCTGCGCTGAACCAATCAATGACTGGAGGTACACGGCAGCCAAAAACACTGCTAATGGCTAGTGTATGTGTAGCTGGAGCCTCTTACTGCAGCATCGCTGGAAAAAATGGAAAGAAATGAGCACCCAAAAGGAAAGAAAAAGACTGTGAACACAACAAATGACATCGCTGGCAACATGGGTCTGATCCGCTCAGTCATGTGGACGTATTTGGCTAGTTAGCGTTTACAAAAACAGAGTAGCTATTAGCTAAAGAATTGAAATTTCTTTCTTTTTTTTTAAAAGGAATTTCTTTCCTTAAAAAATGTATTAGGGATGTTTTTGTCCTCTATGACTCAAGAGTATAGTAAATTAAAGTGAAGCCTGAGAGTTAAACCATTTTTTGTATTTAAATAAAAGAATTGTATTGCTTATTCTTAAAGAAGTTATAATTCAATGCCAATTTTGTTCATTTGACATCAACAGAATATCTCCTTTTTGTTTTGTTCTCTAAAGCTTGAAGATTTTATTTTAAAAGAACCCTCTTTTATTATCCACACCAGTTATAAAAGGATGAAATGTTCATCTTTTGCAGCGCTCCTCCATGGGCGTGGGGGGTTTGCACACATTTCGCTGCTGTTTCTCACCAGTATCAGCTGATGGAGGGCTCTAGTTTCGTTGCGCCGTTCGTGTCAGCGGACACGGTAGGGTTGGGGAGGGGCATGACGCTTAGCCTGGCGGGTGGCCAATCAAAGCCTGGCGGTCTGCCAGGCTTATAAAGCGCTGGGGGACACCCTGCTATAGCTCTACACATAAACAGAATGCGCTGAAAGTGAAAACTACTCAGCAACATACGACAATAGCCTTGCGTGAATAGTTCACCAGAATGATTGACATTTATGCAGACGAATGATTCAGATGATCCACCCGGAAGACAATTATCCTCCGCAATACCTTTAAGATCGACAAAAACATTTGTTTTATATTGTAATATTTATATTGATATTGACTGATGTAAAAAATAACATCACAGGATTTATTCCACAAAAGAAATGATCATATATTTTCTTTCAAATGTATTTTTATTAAACAAAGACTCAGTATCAAACAACCAAAATACCTCAGACACTTTTTCCCCCCACTATGAACAGTTAGCATGTATATACTTCAACACATGAGCATGCATGTATACAGACAAACAAACCTATACGTCTATATGAATCAAAACACTACTTTTAAAGTACAATTAAAATAGAAATAACAACAACAATTAAAAATACATAAACAATAAAAATGAAATGGGGTAAGGGTGGGTTTGTAGGCTAATAAAACACAATAGTCATAGATCTCTCAAAGAAAGGTACCATAATTTATAAAATGTATTTTTACATCCATGCACAGAATACCTTATTTTCTCCAATATATACAAGACATAATATATTTTGCCCATTGTGTAAGTGAAGGGGGTGTAGAAGCTTT